CACACACACACACACACACACACACACACACACACACACACACACACCAGTCAGAAAGGGAATATTTGCAAGCCACGAGCGCGCTCCCCGCGCGGCTACAAGAGCGCACCGTCACTCAGTGCGCTCGCCGCCATCCATCCCCGGTCAAGTGCAGGCACCCGCCAGCCAAGCGAACCCGGGCAGGGGGAGTCAAACCCGCCCGCGGGAAAGAAGGTGTGAGGACGGGGGAGAGAGGGGGTGGGTGGGAATACCGCACCTCCCCTTCCAACCACGCGGAGGGTTCTCGGAGGCTTTGAAAGGAAGCGGCGTATTGCGGGCACAAGCGCTCTACCGATGGGGGCTCAGCTGTGGGCGGCCGCCTCAGAGTCACGACTCACCGTGAACCAACGGCTGAAAGTCGTCGTCCCCCCCCCGCAGGAGGAACGAAAGAAGGAACGTCGCCTGAGGATAAGGTCCCCCCGGGCAAAGCCGGGATGGCGACCTTCCTAGGGCCGCGTTCTCACGTTTCATTTCCCCTCACACCCCTGCGAGAGACGCTGAGGCAAATGGCTCCATTCGGGAAAAGGGGGATCAACTGCCCGGGGAATGAAACCCCGAGGGAAGGCAGAAGGGGAGGCACGAGCAGCAGCTAGGAACCCAACCCAACCCAACCACCCCCAACCCCCCCAAAAGCCACCTTTTTTCCTTTGAAGAGATCGCAGCGCCAGCCTTTATCCTGAAGGGAATCCCGCAGCTCTCCGTGCGGTTTGCTCCCAAGTCAACCCGCCAAGCTTTCCAGGTTCTGGGGCTACACAACTACCTCCTCCCGCATCTCCCGGGCGTGTGAAAAGGATGTAGTGAAGTGGCCCGACTTCCGAGGAAAAGAGCATCGGAGGGTCATCCACCTGCAAGGATCGGGCAGGAAGAAAAACCGCGCAAGGCTGCCTCCCCGCCCCGTTTGCCTAAGGAAAGGAGCCGGCTTTCCATTCGCCCCGGCCGGCGGACCCTGCACTTGGGGGAACGCGGCCGGCGTCGGAGCTCTCACCTTTTTGCCCTCCGGAGCGGCGGAGCGCCGATTCCCCCCGGTCAGGGAGGAAGATCGCCCCTGGCCGACGTGATCCTGTTGCGGGGACATCGCTTCCATTAGATTCCCTTTGAACCGCCGCGCTGCTCAAACAGCCCAAAGCAAGCCTGTGGTCATCCCAGGCTGGTCCTCGATCCTAGGCGAAAAGAAGCAGCCCTCCTCGGAGCCTCTACGGGCGGCTCTCATTGGAGAATTAAGGCAGCAGCGCAACGGAAAAGCGCGCAAAATGCGCCGCCGCGGAAACTGCCGGCGCCAACAGCGGATTCAGCGCAACGGAGAGGCAAAGTGAGTGCGGCAGACAGCGGTGCGGCTGGCCCCGCCCACCTCGAGCCCAACGCTACCCGAGGTTTGCGGCGAGGCTCCACCCAGAAATGGAAGCCGAGGCACAAGCCCCACCCCTTCTCCTGCGGAGGGGAATCTAGCCCAGCCGGCGTGCTTTGTAGCCCCGCCTCTTATTTTAATCACACCGTTAGCTCCGCCCACAAACGAGACTGCAGAATTCCGAGGTGGGGGGTGGGTGCGGTCGTCCGTCTGAGTTTTCTATTTCAGAGGAAACGAAAGGATATCTTAACATTCATATTATTATATATATTTTTATCCCTGATTATCGAGTCTTTGGATTTCCTGGACTGCGACCGAAGAAGCTCTTTGGAAATTTTAAAGAAAAAAAACTATTCCTTCATTTGATCTCAATATTACTAAAACAACCGCTCTTCCATGATCCCTTCCTCGTCCGCTCCCGACTAACGGGGCACGTTGTTTAAAATTAATATTTTCTTGTACCATAGATCGAATTGTTTTTAAGAAGGAACCTCAATCGTGTTTCGTCTGGAATCGATCAAAACTGTAAAAATATTTAGTCAGACCCCATGAAATTGCTAAGGGCACAAGGAGGAAAAGCTCGTTGAAACGTTGGCAAGTCTGGATTGTAAAACTGAAGTGGAGAAGGCAACCCAGGAACAAGCCAGATCTTGTATCAGTTTCCTCAGAAGGAAACCGTTTAACTCAGGTCACTGGGTCTTACTCCAAACAAGTACAGCGTGCTTTGAAATGTTAGATCTGCTCCAGTCCAAGAGAGAGAAAGATGCTTCCAGGCAAGGCATTTATTGAATACTTTGCCACATCCATACGACCTTATAATACATTTTAGGTCTGGAGTTGTATTTCCTGGCAAAGCTTTTATAAATGTTAGTCTTTATCTTCTTGGCATTTTATGAGATATGCAAAGAGCAATTAACTGGTAACCCATATTTCCTTTCCATTCCTTCTGCTATTTTCTTTAAAAAGAAGGAACGCTTCAGCTATTTTTAATTTTGAATTAAAGCCCTGAGGCAGAATGGCTAGATTCATGTCTACAAGCTAAAATAAACCACATTATAATATAGCTTAGTATAATGAGAATTGACCACAGGAAGCATTTGGCTACAATTGAGGAGGCATGTCCTTGGGATATGGTCATAACAGTCAAAATGATGCCCACAACATTAAATTGAACTTCTGTCCATTTCACAGTGCAAATAAAAGGTTGAAATTTGATCACACTGTTGCAGCCTCCTTCTTGACTATTTTAATTATACAGTGCTGGAAATTACCGGGACTTGACTACTTTATGAAATTGCTTCTCACAACGTATTGCACTGTGAACTAGATGGATTTACACAACATCCTAGACCAAAATGTCTTTAGCAAGTTTGTGATTCTTCTGGGAATAGATACCTGTATATGCTTTGTACCTAAGGTAGGACTAGAACTTCAAAGTCTTCTGCTTACTATAGCTTGATGCCTTATGCCAAATAGGCTCCTGTCTGTGCCATGTATATGTATGATTTCTGTCTAGCCTACAGATTTGAGATTTCTCAAAATAAACAGCCTGAAATCATGCACCTCCAAAAAATACAATATTTTTGGGAGATGCATGATTTAAAGTGAAATAAAGAAGTTGCCACAAAAGCAAATAAAATGAAAGCCAGATTTACAATATAATGCAATTTTTTTGTTCTGACAAGTTTGTTGTGCAAATCCAGCCATTGTGATTTGCAAATCATGGTTTGCTTGAGTCAGGTAAAGTCACCCAATTGTAGTTTATTCAATAAACCATGGTTAAATAATGTAATTATGAGTCAGTCAAACTTGGGAGACTATAACAAATTTGAATAAAGTTCCCTTCACAGATGAGACAAACCAAAATTTATAAGTTAGTATGTAAAATAAACTTAGTCTTCCATTCCTGATATTTTTAATTAAAATATTAGAATGTACTTTTAGTTTAAAACTTTCATCTTTAAAAAAAACATTCCCATTATTAGAACAAATAAAGAGGTTTATGCTAATGTTGTATGAAGGCTGTTGGCTGGATTGTTAACTTTACAGTGTGATCCTGCATTCTGCAAAATTACAGAAATAAGGGGCATCTGTTAAGTTTTGCAAGACTTGTGATGTGAGGAGAGAGAAAATGCTTTTTTTTTTAAATAAGAAACATCTGTAATGCTGTGTGGGAGACTAGGAAAAGAAGTTGAGCCAGAAATCTTAAGTTTATATTCTTATTTGTCTTATCTTTCTCGCATTCAAACTCATTGCTGATTTAAGGGAATATTAGATCTCATTTTAGCTGAGTTTTCATGTTAAACAATCTCGTATTATGACAGCAAGCAGCTTGTGCATACCTTTTTACTCCTTGCTATTACTTTTATTATGTATATTTTATCCTATCTTTCAACTTGGAAGAAACTCAATTTTTTTCACATAACTTTTCTGAAATCAAAGAGAATACTCCCCTGTATATCATGCTGAACTTATAATTCTAGGACAATAGGATAACCAAGTGACACCCGTCTAATACCTTCTGCATAATGTTTTTGTACATATGTGTTTTTACCGTGATAGCCAAATATATGCCTCTTATCAAGCTTTTTATACCCACCAGGTGGCTTCTCAAATAGGGATTACATAATTTTAAAACAGAAGCACATTAAAATGACCAAATATTTAAAAAAAACCCAAACCCATGAGAGTCAAAATGGCATAACTAATAAGATGCTGAACTAGGAACAGGATCTCAAGCTCTAGTTTACCATCAACCCTGGAAACTCATTTTTTAATTAATTAATTAATTAATTTTCTGTCAACCCAACACAGCTCACTAATTTGTTGTTTTGGGAAAAATAGGTCCTGTGTTGATTTTAAATACAAATGCATATCCAGTACTTCTATGGCAATATGTGGCTTTTTTCCCATCAATATGGTTGTGTGTCATAAAAATAGTGATAAAGTTACTATGTTTTTTAAACTCCTAAATATTGTAATCTATACCTGGCCACATCCCTTCCACATATTTAAAAATATTGAAAAACTTGTACCCTAGGGGAAAAAATAACCTCCAGTACCTATCTGTCTATAATTTTTCTGCACAATTTACTTACTTTAAAATGAGTTTTAATGAAGTCATTTTCTGGTAGCTGTATGTGGAATTTCAGTTCCTTTCCTAGACTTTACTGATGTTTCTATCCTTGATTGACAAGTACTTAATTGTTTTTCCTGTGTCAGTTTTAATGGACTTGCAAAAAATCTTCTAGAGAGAACTCTAAAAAATAAACAGGTGTAAAACAACAGTTAAAAGACAATGCTTCTAAAATATTTTTGTAGAATCATTAAGAATAGATTTTAGATTTGAGAGAACTATTTCAACTATTTAAGATTTGATGTAAGGCACCTTTACATAAACTTAGAACTATAGGATTCTGAGGTTCGGGTTTTGTTTTGAGTATCAGTATAAAATGGGTTTCAGAATTCAATCCTTCTCAACCCTGGTAACTTTAAGATGGACAGATGTCAACTGCCAGAATTCTCCTACATGCTGGCTGGAGAATTTTGGGAGTTGAAGTTGCCATGGTTATAAAAAAGGTTGGATATAACAATTATCAGTTAAACCCAAGTTGCTTCTGTGATGATTATGGTAAGGAAAGTTTCATGAACCACTTTGTTATAATTATTGTAAAACAAAAGATTCAAGATACCATACCAATCTTCATCACAAAAACCAACAGAAGTCCATGAATAGTTTGAAAAATAAGATAGGCTTATTTTTGCTGGTCAACTTTAAAAAGGAGGGGATTATGATAAAAGTTGTCCATATTGCAAGATCCTGTGCTTGTTTGTTTTGCCAGTATAGGGAGAAATAACGCTCCTTCTCCACTACAAAATGAAGACCTACATGGTTTGAACATTTATATTAAGAAAAAAATCACTTGCAGTATCCCTCCTGCAAATTAGCTGTAGACAGCTACGGTCAAACTGTTGCTGACCCAAAGGAATTTAGTGAATCAATGACTAGTACATTACAGGTATCAGGTTGCTCTGATTGCGGATATTGAAAGAAGGAAACTATGATTGACTTCCATACCAGAAACAAAAAACCACATTTGTCTCCTTATGGGTGTAGAATTCAAAAGCCCTTGGCTTTGCAAAGAAGAAATTAAACATGAACGCTTTCCATTTTAACTATGATTTAATCAGTTAACCTCAACCATATGGGTTTTCATAACAATTGAACCAGAAAATGAGCCACAGGAAAGGGTTCAAACAACATATTAAACTAAAATTTAGATAGCTTGTTAATGAGGTTTAAGGTGCCATACAAACAAGGCCATTGATGGTCTTCATATTTAAAGTTGAATATTAGAATTAGTATCTTTATTACATATAGCAGTTGATTAGCATGTTGTAAATTCTGTGGGAAAAGATTCCAAAGCTCAAATATATAGGCATTTTTGAATGATTAATAGAAATAAGTAGTATGGTTCAAACTATAAAACCTTACAAGTGGTAGAATACAAATTGCCTAAATTATAAAGCTAGTTTGACAATAAAATGCTAATTTATTAAATTACTAAGTTTGTCTTGTGTAAAGCTTTACTGTGGTCAGTAAAAAGTGAGATGTACTGTAACAAAGTTATAAACACATAAAACAGCATAAGAAAATTCTATATATTTATATATTTGCAAAATCCTTCTTCAAGAATTAAATGGCCAGATTGGGTAAAGCTGTATTATTAGAGCATTGT